GTTACCCAATAGAATTGTTTATTATATATATAAGGTATAATAAACTGTGTTATTGTCACATGATAACATGTTACCCAATAGAATTGTTTATTATATATATAAGGTATAATAGACTGTGTTATTGTCACATGGTAACGTGTTACCCAATAGAATTGTTTATTATATATATAAGGTATAATAAACTGTGTTATTGTCACGTGATAACGTGTTACCCAATAGAATTGTTTATTATATATATAAGGTATAATAAACTGTGTTATTGTCACGTGATAACGTGTTACTCAATAGAATTGTTTATTATATATATAAGGTATAATAAACTGTGTTATTGTCACATGCACTACAAAAGTCTAAAAGTCTGAAAAGACCAGTTTTTGTCTTAATTTGCATGAACTTTTACTCGACATTCTCCAAAAGTATGACTTGTGTCTTAATTTTTCTTGACAAATTCTCATTTATATTAAATTTGTATGAAATTTACTCGACATATTCTCGACATTCTGAATATGGTCTTAAAATTTCTTGACATTTGAATACTGTCTTGAAATTTCTCGACATATTCTCGACATTCTTATTTTTTCTCAGTATGGCTTGACATATTCTGAACATTTTGAATCGTGTCTTAAATTTACTTGACAGTTCTGAGTTTTACAAATCATGACCAATATTCATGATATAACTTTAATCTTTATTTCTCTTTATATGATATACTGTTGTTTCAAGTTACACTTCTTTACAACAAAAATAAAAAGTTGGGCATGTAAAATAATTGAAAATTTGGGTATATAAATATTTTTATAAATGCAAATATGGCTATGAAATCTAAAGTATAAAATAATTCAAATGTGGGTGTGTTGATATAAAACAATTTCAATGTGGGTTTTTAAACAATTACAAATTTTGATTCCTAAATCTTATAAATTAAATGATTCAAACCAATCATACTGTAGACATATTTCATTCTACATTCATAATATTCAATGTTGATATGCTAAATAATTATTATACCAAAATGTGGTTTATATAAATAGCAAATTATGATGATATACAAATCATTCATTTAACAGAAGAAAAATTTGTGTAATGTCATCTGTTGGAATATATTAAGTATTACACATGGACAGGATGTTCCCCATAAAATTAAGGTATTCCACACCCCAGAGTACACGCAACTGTCAAATAGAAGTTATTGCTTTACCTGTAATCAGCCATACAACTTATCAGTTGACCGACCATGCCACTACAATTTAAAAAGTTTGTTGATATATGAAAATGAAAATCATCATTTTGATGAAAAAAAATTGAATTGAAATGGATTTTCTTCATCAAAATTATGAAGTTAATTCTTTTAACATAAAAACAAATTGAATAATTCCCAAAGATTAAAAGAAAATTATTATCTACTCCAGGAATAATAAAAAAAAAATGTATTTATAATGGGTCCCATCAATGATTTCTATAGAAATCATCGGTCTTATGAAATGGTTCTCAAACAGACATGCATAATATAGATCTAAACATTTTTTTCTTTTCAGGAAGGAGTTATCACCAATATTTATTTTTGATAAAAAATTATAAAATTCAACACTCAAATTTGAATAAAAAATGTTTTTGGGTTGTTCTAAAAAATGAATAAGGTTTTTGAATCAAGATGGGAAAAAATTCTTTGACCTAAACGAAAGCCCCCCCCCCTCTTTTTTTAGCCACACAAACCCAAAAGATGAATTGTGGGGTCCAAAAAAGATACAAGACACCTATTTTAGTAAAGCAAATTTGACTGGCAGTTTTGCGAACGGCAAAAATCTAAATGCTGTTTGTCAATACCTTCGACTTATATTCCAAGTGAAAACAATTACTTAAATGTTTAATGAAAATAAATCAAAATTAAACTACATGGGGGATTATTCAGGGTATTCCAACTTAGTTGCACCAAAAGGGTATCTTACTATACCAAATTAATCCTTGATTCTTCAAAATTTAGTTTAGCCATAATAAAACGGAGTATATAACAGCAATAGAATGTCATAAACAGTGCAGAATAAGTCTGATCACATTTCAGGCGAAATTTATACTGTTGAGATAGTGTCAAGACATATTTAAGACTGTCAAGAATGTGTCGAGACATATTCAGACATTATTTAGAATGTCAAGAATATGTCGAGACATATTCAGACATTATTAAGAATGTCAAGAATATGTCAAGACAGATCGAGACAAATTTGAGACAGTCAAGAATTGGTCGAGACTAATCCAGACTCTTATCAGATGATACAGGAAGTGTCGAGAAATTTTAAGACAATGTTCATACTGTCAAGACACTTGTCAAGAAAAATCAAGAACCTTATTAGACAAATTCATACTATGTCAAGAATTTTTAAAAATTATTCAGACAAATTAAGAATGTCGAGTAAAAATTCATGCAAATTCAGACAAAAACTGGTCTTTTCAGACTTTTTGACTTTTGTAGTGATGATAACGTGTTACCCATTATAATTGTTTATTATATATATAAGGTATAATAGACTGTGTTATTGTCACATGGTAACGTGTTACCCAATAGAATTGTTTATTATATATATAAGGTATAATAAACTGTGTTATTGTCACGTGATAACTTGTTACCCAATAGAATTGTTTATTATATATATAAGGTATAATAAACTGTGTTATTGTCACATGATAACGTGTTACCCAATAGAATTGTTTATTATATATATCAGGTATAATAAACTGTGTTATTGTCACATGATAACGTGTTACCCAATAGAATTGTTTATTATATATATATAAGGTATAATAAACTGGGTTATTGTCACATGGTAACATGTTACCCAATAGAATTGTTTATTATATATATAAGGTATAATAAACTGTGTTATTGTCACATGATAACGTGTTACCCAATAGAATTGTTTATTATATATATAAGGTATAATAAACTGTGTTATTGTCACGTGATAACGTGTTACCCAATAGAATTGTTTATTATATATATAAGGTATAATAAACTGTGTTATTGTCACATGATAACGTGTTACCCAATAGAATTGTTTATTATATATATAAGGTATAATAAACTGAGTTATTGTCACGTGATAACTTGTTACCCAATAGAATTGTTTATTATATATATAAGGTATAATAAACTGGGTTATTGTCACGTGATAACGTGTTACTAAATAGAATTGTTTATTATATATATAAGGTATAATAAACTGTGTTATTGTCACATGATAACGTGTTACCCAATAGAATTGTTTATTATATATATAAGGTATAATAAACTGTGTTATTGTCACATGATAACGTGTTACCCAATAGAATTGTTTATTATATATATAAGGTATAATAAACTGTGTTATTGTCACATGGTAACGTGTTACCCAATAGAATTGTTTATTATATATATAAGGTATAATGAACTGTGTTATTGTCACATGATAACGTGTTACCCAATAGAATTGTTTATTATATATATAAGGTATAATAAACTGTGTTATTGTCACGTGATAAAGTGGTACCCAATAGAATTGTTTATTATATATATAAGGTATAATAAACTGGGTTATTGTCACATGATAACGTGTTACTCAATAGAATTGTTTATTATATATATAAGGTATAATAAACTGTGTTATTGTCACATGATAACGTGTTACCCAATAGAATTGTTTATTATATATATAAGGTATAATGAACTGTGTTATTGTCACATGATAACGTGTTACCCAATAGAATTGTTTATTATATATATAAGGTACAAATGTATAATAAACTGTGTTATTGTCACATGATAACATGTTACCCAATAGAATTGTTTATTATATATATAAGGTATAATAAACTGTGTTATTGTCACATGATAACTTGTTACCCAATAGAATTGTTTATTATATATATAAGATATAATAAACTGTGTTATTGTCACGTGATAACTTGTTACTCAATAGAATTGTTTATTATATATATAAGGTATAATAAACTGGGTTATTGTCACACGATAACGTGTTACCCAATAGAATTGTTTATTATATATATAAGGTATAATAAACTGTGTTATTGTCACATGATAATGTGTTACCCAATAGAATTGTTTATTATATATATGAGGTATAATAAACTGGGTTATTTATCAAATCAGGTTAACATACTAGTGTTATTCTTTAGTCCAGTTATTAAACTGTGTTATTTGTTAAGTAAATTGAAATATGTGATTAAAAAAAAAGAATAAAATTACTGAAAATGTATATTGAAAAACTATATAAAAAATAACAATATAAAGGTAAGATGTGGAATAATTGTCAATGATACAACTATAGACCTGAGTCCAAATGATGTGGATGCAAGCAATTATAGGACACTGCTGGCTTTCAACTATGAACAAGTTTTTATACGCCCGTCAATTTTTGACGGGACTTATTATGGTATACAAATGTCCGGTGTCCGTCCGTCCGTCTGTCTGTCCGGCGTAAACATGTCGCACCGTAACTTGAGAATGACTTATCCAAATTTCATGAAACTTAATATAGTTGTTTCTTATGATGGTCAAATGATCTGTATACTTTTTGGGGAAATTAAGTTTAAAACTTTTTGAGTTACGGGACTTAGTAACTAAAACAGGTGTGTTTCTTTTCACATGTCGCGACGTATCTCAAAAACGATTTATGACTATTGCTTAAAATTTTACACTCTTTTTAGTTATATTAATCTAAAGATCTGTATACTCTTTGGTTTTGATTCAAAATTTTATTTTAGAGATATTGAGTTTTTTGTAAAAAAAAAAGGGGGTTTTCGCATGTCACGCCGTATGTCAGAAACTATTTATGCTTATTGCATAAAAATTCACACACAAGATGACGGGCGTATAATGCGCTCATGGCCCAGCTGTTTATATTACATTTCTTATTCCTTATCTTATTTCACATTTTCCATTGTCAATGTTTGAAATATCTGCTTGATTGCATCATAAAAAATCATTTTTTTCCTCCTATTTATTCTAGCTTTTCCATTGTAATAACTGCCTGTTTACATCCTATGGGAAAACTTTGTATATGTATCCATACTCATGTCAAAGGTCAACAGTAGCTACAATACTAGGAAAACAGAATATACAGACAGACAATTTGGACCATGTGGCAGAATGGGGCACAAAAGTACCAGTAAGTTTTAGTAAATATATACAGATACGCAATATTCTAGGATTAAAAGTTTTTTTAGTTGAAATACATGTGGTTAAAATTGAAAAAATGAGAGCTCTACAAATGAACTTGGCTAAGGGGCAAGACAAAGCAATTAAGTACAAGTTAACAAAATATGCGTATGGATCATGTTGGGTTTGAACCAAGGATCCGGAAATTTTTTTACACAATTTCTGTCATTTTGAAATGACTAAAAAGTTTGGCCCTTTTTTTCAAACTGTTGAAATTATTCACACTAGATTCATAGCATCAACAAACTTGTGTTGACTGTTTCATCGCATTTACTTCATGAATTTTCTTACCATTTTTTAAAAAAAGTTCAAGAACAGTTAAGGGAAGGCAACAGTTAAAAATTGAAATGATTTTAATGACTCAAAATGGTAAAATTCTCCAACATCCCTAACGTTTCTTTTGATTTTGAAGACGAAGTTCAAACCAGAAGTTTCACAACAATACTAATGAACGAGTAATTCTGGATTCATTTCCAGGATTTGTTCTGTTTATCAAATTGACAGGAAATCACAGGATTTTAATTTTATTACCTTTAATGTTTGAATATAACAGATAATAGTTACATTCATTTAACTAAGCATGAAATTATTTTGCATTTTATGATTAAGTGTCTAATCTGGTGAAGACAATTTCATGCATGCGTATTACATAGTAAATAAAGCACATGTTACTTTTTTCTATGTAAATTAAATCAAGTTTTGATTTTAAATCAGAATTGTCGATTGACTTTGCTGAAAAGTAATTAAACAATGAAGAAAGTTGTCATGGAATTCTAATTTCTTTATAATATTAGTTCTGAGCTTGTGATCACTGTCAGGTGTGAATTAAAAACACAGGTAAAAAGTGATTAGTGATCATTAACCAATATTTCCCATTAATATGGTTATTAGGAGGGTCCTCAGGATTATCATACTATACTGGAGTGGCAGTTTTATTATAGTAAAGGGATTACAAAACATAAACAAGTGCAAAATAGTGATAAAGAAACCCGATCTCAATGAAATGACCGAAATTATTTCTGTAAAAAAAATTTATTTGGCCTAAATCCCAATCTGCCGTTTATGACAAATAGCTTTCAGTTTAGGACATGGCTGGGAAATATGACGGTTTCTGGACCGCTGTTTTGAACATGTGTAGTGTTGGTCAAGGCTTTATCAATAAGAAAGTCAACAGTAGTGTACGCTATTAGTAGTTTTAGATATTTTTAAAAAGCATTTGTGAAAATTACATGATGTTGACTAAAGAAGTCTTCAGAATAGTACTTTTTCAGTAAAAAGACAAATTCTATTATTAATAATATTAAATTGTATTTAAATTATACTGTCTTTTCAGAAGAAAAAAGACTGTGAAAAAGAAGAAAATATAAGAAACATTTTACAGCAGTTATCAGATAAGACACAGGTACATTTTTATACACCCGTTGAAGACGGGACCTATTATGGCATACCAAATGCAATTTCCGTCCAACAACGCTTTGTACGATAACTCCAATTTGACTTAACCAATTAACATGTAATTTTTAAACAATATTTTGATTGACGGATTGATTGATTTCTACAAACTTTACATTATTGTTGGGATTGATAAAAGCTCCCTTTGGATTTTTGTCGAGCCTTCGACTTTAGTCGAAAAAGCGAGACATAGCGATCCTACATTCCGTCGGCGTCGGCGTCGTCGTCGTCGGCGGCGGCGTCCACAAATATTCACTCTGTGGTTAAAGTTTTTAAAATTTTAATAACTTTCTTAAACTATTCTGGATTTCTACCAAACTTGGACAGAAGCTTGTTTATGATCATAAGATAGTATCCAGAAGTAAATTTTGTAAAAATTAAATTCCATTTTTTCCGTATTTTACTTATAAATGGACTTAGTTTTTCTGCCGGGAAATATTACATTCACTCTGTGGTTAAAGTTTTTAAAATTTTAATAACTTTCTTAAACTATCCTGGGTTTGTACCAAACTTGGACAGAAGCTTGTTTATGATCATAAGATAGTATCTAGAAGTAAATTTTGTAAAAAAATAATTTTTTCCTTATTTTACTTTTAAATGGACTTAGATTTTCTGCCAGGAAACAACACATTCACCCTGTGGTTAAAGTTTTTAAAATTTTAATAACTTTCCTATACTATTTTGGATTTGTACCAAACTTGGACAGAAGCTTGTTTATGATCAAAGTTTTTAAAATTTTAATAACTTTCTTATACTATTTTGGATTTGTACCAAACTTGGACAGAAGCTTGTTTATGATCAAATGCTAGTATCTAGAAGGAAATTTTGTTTTCTTCCAGTTAACATTACATTCAGTCTGCAGTTAAAGTTTTTAAACATTTATTAAATTCATAAACTATCCTGGATTTTTACCAAACTTGGACAGAAGCTTCTTTCAATCAAAAGATAGTATCAAGAGAAATATTTTTATTGATTAACTTCCTCATTTTTGTTGAGCCTGCGATTAACAGAAAAAGTAGGCGAGACACTGGGTTCCGCGGAACCCTTACGAATTTTTTAATAATTTTCTGGTTTTTGTTCCAGATTTACTGGACTTAAATAATTATCAGATTTAAGTAAATATTTCACATGTTGTACCAGAACTTGAGTTTGCTTGGATTGATTTACTTGAAACTATACATAATACTTGGAATTAGTGAACATAACACACCGTTGGATTTAATAAAAACTGATATGTCATTGCTGAGTTATGGGACTTTGACCATCAAATAAATAAAAGGATTTTTTCTAAAGGTACCCAAATGCTTGTTTTTCTACAGAGCCGTTTTATTTGTTTATGATTAAATGTCTTCTATATGTCTCATTTTGTTCTTGTAACAATTTCAATATGCACAATAAGGGCATTTCATGTGCTCTTGATGCAGCTTTTTATTTATAAGTAATTTCATATGTAACATGGATTTATGAATACTTTGGTATCTCTGACAAGTACCAAAGTATAAAATCTATTTAAGGAAAATATTTACTGAGTCAAATTTAGTATTTGTTTTTAAAATTTTACCATTATAAAATTTCATTATTTTTTTCAGGTGACCAACTATAAAAAGTTTACTGAAATGTTTAATAAAGTGAAGCCATTATTATCAGACCTTGAGAGTCAAAGTAATTTGATGCTACAATTTGTGCAACGTTGTCTCACTGAAGAGAAGTTCTTCCCAAAGACAGAAGTACAGTTTCTTATAAAAACACAGGCTATACCTTCTGTGTAAGTAAATACTGTGCAATTATTTCCTTTAGATAGGTAAATGAGTTGTGTTATTTTCTTCTAAAAACTGATAATAACTGAGCCCTGGGGTCTAGTTGTGAAATCTGATATTCACTGCAACCTTGGACCAGTTGAATATTTGTTTTTCATAAGTAACTATCACTACTCATTTATTGAATCAAAACACAATAATTGTTTATTGAATAATGCAGACATTAAACAATGACATTCTTATAAGGGCCCGCTTGTGCATCTGTCTGTTTGTCACAAAACGTTTTAAAACCCCTGTAGTTTAAGATTGAAACTTGACGTGCTTATTTACCACTACCAGAAGGTGTGTCACAAACAAGGGTTGAAAAAAAACTACACTGAAAGTCATTGGCAAAAACTTACTACAACTAAGCCACCCCTGTGCATATTTACAAAAATGGTTTTCACTCTCTAACTTAAAAACCAGTTGGAGTTCAGCGAAATATTGTGTGATCCTTCATCACTTTAAGATGTTATGTTGCCAACATGGATGATCATGGCCAAAAGGTTGACTCTCGATAACTTAAATTTGATAGGACACACATAATAGTTTGAGATAACAAGAATTGTCATTGAATAATGATTTTTACCAAATTTTGGTGTATTGGACAAAAAATATTGTGAATACAAATAAACTGTATTAAGAAAAATGATCAGCAATAGAAGACAAACAAAAAGTGGTTTTACTCATGTGTCTACAAAGTTTACCTTGGATCAATTTGGCTATTTTAGGTCCCCTTTGATCGTATAGCTCTTCATGTGTTTTTGGTCTTGTGCATCCTTGCTTGGCTTTCTAATGTTTGGGATTGAGCATTCCTGGTGATGGTAAATCCAGAAAAGCCCTTCCAATGCATGAAATTAATGGGAAAAAAACAGATGTCACGTGAGCTACATAGGCTCTTTATAACCTACACTTTATTTGATAACTGCTTTATTTATAATTATTTTTAAGATCCTATATTTTATTCACTATATTCCCTATCTTATAAACAATACTATTTATGTAAGTATGTACACATGAGTCTGATGTTACTGTTTATACAATGGTCTCTCAGTGAATAACCCTGACCTGATTTACTTTGTAGATTAATGACACATCTGTTTGATGCTCTAATCAAACATAAAGCAACAGGTTTGCTGAAAAATACTTTGGAGTATATCTCCAATATACCAGAATCTTGCCTCTGTAAGATGTTAGATTTTATTCTGAGGTGAGTACACCAAGACAAGGTACATTGCAGTATATTACCTATATACCAGAATCTTGCCTCTGCAAGATGTTAGACTTTATTCTGAGGTGAGTACACCAAGATGAACTACCTTATAGTATATTTCCAATATATCAGAATTTTGCCTCTGTAAGATGTTAGAGTTTATTCAAAGATTAGTACACCAAGACAATCTACAGTAAAATAACACTGTTGATACTAGATTAATCTGTTAACGCAAGATTAAAGTATTACAGCAAAATAACACTTGTTACAAAAGATTCAAATATAACAGTAAAATAACACTTTTGTTACAAGATTAATCTGTTAACACAAGATTAGAATAAAACAGTTCAAAAACATTGTTGATACAAGATTTCATTTAATAAATTAACACAAATATAATGTTCATGATATCCATGACTTAAAATTGTGTCTTATCTTTGCAGTTTAGAAGAAAAAGATTTAGATGGACAAATAAATGGTCAGTCAACCATAGAGGGATGTCCACTTCCCTCTACTAAGATGTATTTTATGTATCCTTTTGTCAATACAAACACAATTGCTTGCTTTTGGATACTATGAAATAATATTAATGAAAAGTTACATGTTGCCAGTATTTGTTCATTAGTAAAATTGACTATTCTGTCAGTATTTGTTCAGTAGAAAAGTTGACAATTCTGTCATGATTTGTTCAGTAGAAAAGTTGACAATTCTGTCAGTATATGTTCAGTTAAAAATGTGACAATTAAGTCAGTATTTGTTCAGTAAAAAAAGTGACAATTCTGTCAGTAGTTGTTCAAAAGTATGAACAAAGAGAAAGAAGTACAAACAAAAGTATGAACAAAGAGAAAGAAGTTCAAACAAAAGTATGAACAAAGAGAAAGAAGTACAAAAAAAGTTATGAACAAAGAGAAAGAAGTTCAAACAAAAGTATGAACAAAGATAAAGAAGTACAAACAAAAGTATGAACAAAGAGAAAGAAGTACAAACAAAAGTATGAACAAAGAGAAAGAAGTACAAACAAAAGTATGAACAAAGAGAAAGAAGTACAAAAAAAGTTATGAACAAAGAGAAAGAAGTACAAACAAAAGTTATGAACAAAGAGAAAGAAGGTCAAACAAAAGTATGAACAAAGAGAAAGAAGGTCAAACAAAAGTATGAACAAAGAGAAAGAAGTTCAAACAAAAGTATGAACAAAGAGAAAGAAGTTCAAACAAAAGTATGAACAAAGAGAAAGAAGTACAAACAAAAGTATGAACAAAGAGAAAGAAGTACAAAAAAAGTTATGAACAAAGAGAAAGAAGTACAAACAAAAGTTATGAACAAAGAGAAAGAAGTACAAACAAAAGTATGAACAAAGAGAAAGAAGGTCAAACAAAAGTATGAACAAAGAGAAAGAAGTTCAAACAAAAGTATGAACAAAGAGAAAGAAGTTCAAACAAAAGTATGAACAAAGAGAAAGAAGTTCAAACAAAAGTATGAACAAAGAGAAAGAAGTACAAAAAAAGTTATGAACAAAGAGAAAGAAGTTCAAACAAAAGTATGAACAAAGAGAAAGAAGTACAAACAAAAGTATGAACAAAGAGAAAGAAGTACAAAAAAAGTTATGAACAAAGAGAAAGAAGTACAAAAAAAGTTATGAACAAAGAAAAAGAAATACAAAAAAAGTTATGAACAAAGAGAAAGAAGTACAAACAAAAGTTATGAACAAAAAGAAAGAAGTTCAAACAAAAGTATGAACAAAGAAAGAAGTACAAAAAAAGTTATGAACAAAGAGAAAAGATTGAAGGAGAATAAATCAACAGTTTGATTATACTTAACATCTAATCAGAAATCAGATCTTACATGTGTCATTCAATGATGTGTTCCTGGTAGAGTGTGTCGGAATGCTGTCATTTAAAAATGTTCTGGTAAGTAAACTGTTCACCTCCATTTTCTAGGATATCTACCACACAAGGAAGTCCATAAGGTTTACATTCTATATAGATTCTATACATGGCAATGTTGATTCAATCAATGTATTGATAATACTAATACCTGTCCAAACCAACACCTGCAGGACTGGGTATTGTTCTGTTTTCACAGGTGTTTGGATTGTAGAGGTTAACAGAAGTGGACAGATAAACATTATTTTGACACTGACTGCCAAAGGACATCAAGTAACACATTAGACAACAAGTTTGTCACATCGATTTCAAAGTAAATGATAATGAAATCAACTATTTCAAGATATATCAAGATATTTTATAGATGAACATAAATGAAATTACAAATTGAAATCATTTGTTCAGTTTGATCTTAGTAGTGACTATCCGAAGAGATAGCAAATTAGCTCAATTTTTTTTTAACAAATCTTAAATTTCATTATGGTTCATGTCCGATCCTGTTTGAACCTCAGTTTGAATTTCTGTGTCTACATCCTTGTCTGAATCTATTAAGTTGTCCACTGTAAATTCACAATTCAAGTAAGATTCCCAATCACTGTGAAATTCAGATTCTGTGCTTAAATTGTCATCAACATCGCCTGCTTCAATTATCTGCACACATGGGTTCCTTGACTAAAATGGCTAAAGAAAAACATTTTTTTCAGGGTTTTTTTTTGGTATATTGGTATGATGTTGGCGTCGTCGTCGTCTAAAGACACATTAGTTTTCGCACTCTAACTTTAGTTTAAGTGAATGGATCTCAATGAAATTTTACCATAAGGTTCAATACCACAAAAGGAAGGTAGGGATTGATTTTGAGGGTTATGGTACCAACAGTTAAGGAATTAGGGGCCAAAAAGGGGCCAAAAATAGGCATTTTTGTAACTTCCAGACATAACATGTGTGTAAGTGTATGGATCTCTCTGACATTGTACCACAGGGTTCCATAACACAAAGGGAATGCTGGGATTGATTTTGGGGGTAATTGCCTCCAAATTTTAGGAATTAGGGGCCAAAAAGGGGCAAAAAACAAGCATTTTTCTAGTTTCATGACAATAACTTGTTTGTAAGTCTATGGATCTCTCTGACATTGTATCACAAGGTTCCATATCACAAAGGGAATGCTGGGATTGATTTTGGGGGTAATTGCCTCCAAATTTTAGGAATTAGGGGCCAAAAAGGGGCAAAAAACAAGTATTTTTCTAGTTTCATGACAATAACTTGTGTGTAAGTGTATGGATCTTTCTGAAATTGTACTACAAGGTTCCATATCACAAAGGGAAAGCTGGAATTGAGTTTGGGGGTAATTGCCCAAAATTTTAGGAAAAAGAGGCCAAAAAGGGGCCAAAAATAAGCATTTTTCTAGTTTCCAGACAATAACTTGTGTTCAAGTGTATGGATCTCTCTGAAATTGTACTGCAAGGTACCATACCGCAAAGGGAAGGCTGGGATTGATTTTGGGGGTAATTCCCTCAAAATTTTAGTATTTAGGGGCCATAAAAGGGCAAAAAAACAAGCATTTTTCTAGTTTCAGGACAATAACTTGTGTGTAAGTGTATGGATCTTTATGAAATTGTACTGCAAGGTTTCATATCACAAATGGAAAGCTTGGTTTGAGTTTGGGGGTAATTGCCTTAAACGTTTAGGAATTTGGGGCCAAAAAGGGGCCAAAAAACAAGCATTTTTCTAGTTTCCAGACAATAACTTGTGTTCAAGTGTATGGATCTCTCTGAAATTGTACTGCAAGGTACCATACCACAAAGGGAAGGCTGGGATTGAGTATGGGGGTGATGAATCATAAGGGGGCTCAAAAAATTTGGGGGGGGGGGGGGGGTTTCCTTTTTTTTCTTTAAAATTTTCCATTTTAAATTGGTTATTTCTGATTTATATATAAAAGCAAATAATAATGATATGGTTTGAATAGGTAAATTAAAATTTTTTAAGTTCTTAGACCACTTTCATTCTGTGTCAGAAACCTATGCTGTGTCAAATATTTAATTACAATCCAAATTCAGTGCTGTATCAAGCTTGAATGTTGTGTCCATACTTGCCCCAACTGTTCAGGGTTCGACCTCTGCGGTCGTATCAAGCTGCGCCCCAGCGGAGCATTTTATTATTAATGCGAATAATGCGACTAGGTGAGTATCGCATTAATAAGAACTCGCATTCTGATATCTTATACTTACGTCTGTATGCAGATTTCCCTGAAATCGCAATAATTAATCTGGCATTTATGTCCATCCTTCTAAAATTCAATAATAAATGTACACAATAATTTCTAAATTTACAGTAGTTGTTGATTTTGTTAATTTCCCGACTTCTTAATCCAGTGAATAGCTTTAAAAACATTATTTTTTTACATGTATCAATATGGAATGGCAGTTGTTATTTTGTGGCAGTAAATATTTGATCATGTGTATTTTAATTAATTCCAATTTGTATTCCAGCGAAAGTTCTTTTCTTGCACTTTTTGGCCATGCAAAAGGTTTATAATTTGGATCAAATTTACATTTCTTCTTTAGAGTTTCAATTTTAACACTGCATACATGTACATATACAAGCTAATGTATGTATATAACGTATAAGCCTCCTTTCATTAGGAGCACCACCATGAGTTATGATTTGTGTAAAGGAGGACATTTAGCACACTGTATCGGCACATATTTAGTCTCTGATGCATGATTTTTTATTATTAATTGTTTTTGGCTTTTAACTAGCTTTCAGTAACTGCGAGTACTCTCAAATCGTACTTTCGTGTTAATTTGACCTGTTGATACAATTTGTAATGTATTTTTGTTATTTAATGTTTACTTATTCAGTGTTATATCTAGTCTCACTATTTTTAATATATACCACCTTTGATAAGTGTTTAGTATGATGATAAATTTTCACTTTTGTTCTCGTACTGGGAAGAACAAAATTATTTATTTTTTGTAAAAATTATTTCAGTACTCCATGTATACCTTACAACAAAATTATTTTCATTTACCTGTGTACGTTATTTTATTTGGCGACATTTTGTCCAAGGTTATGGTTGTCTTTCGGATATTGTTAAACATCTAACCCCCTTGACAGTGACGTTGTTTTATTAATTTTGTATTTACATTGTGTCATAGATCAAATTTATTTGTTCAGTGTATGTTCACTTGTTTTTGTTAATATGTCTTTTGATTGAGTTAAGCCATTTCAATTGATATTTTATAGTGTGTCTTTCTATGTTGTAATGCTACACTATTGTTTCAGGTAGGGTGAAGATTTTGACAGGTAATTTTTATGTCCTACCTACGATATTAGAGGGGCGTTATGTTTTTCGGTCTGTGCATCCGTCTGTTCTTCTGTCTGTCCCACTTCAGGTTAAAGTTTTTTTTTTGGTCAAGGTAGTTTTTGATGAAGTTGAAGTCCAATCAACTTGAAACTTAGTACACATGTTACCTATGATATGATCTTTGTAATTTTAATGCCAAATTAGAGTTTTGACCCCAATCTCACGGTCCACTGAACATAGAAAATGATAGTGCGAGTGGAGCATCCATGTACTATGGACACATTCTTGTTTAATACACATTTACTAATGAGCCTTTAAAAAGTGTTCAGAATTGGGTATTGGCAGGATTCTATTTATTCAGGTTAAAATATGGGACTTTGAAAATTGTTTGGTATTAACTGAAATTAGGTTTTGTCAGGGTTTAGTTTGAAAAGGTTTCACTGTATATTATTAGTTACATAGTGTGCTAGTGACCTAATACGATATATATGGGGTCAGTAAATTCCATATAGGGTGAAAGCAAAGCTCGAATCCCCATATGGAATTTACTGACCCCAGATATATCGTATTAGGTCACTAGCACACTGTGTAACGAATTTATCTTACTGACTATCTTAACATGTGGTATTTAAACTAGTGGCCTATCAAAGTGATCAAGTCTTCAATACCGTTAGTATTAAGAACCTACTTCCATTGGTCTATACAAAAACAAATGCCAACAATAACAACTTGTTAGCTTTAAATGTGTTTAATGAATTTATTTCATTCGTTCATCATCAATTTCTTCATCTGTTGAAACTTTTAAGATTTTTCCTCAACACCGTGTTGTTTTTATAAAGGGACGTAACACCTCTACTAACCATGTATTGAAATAAGCCCCTCCTACTAACCCAATATGGAATATACACGGTCTCCACACGGTTGCTTTTAACCAATCATATTCCTAGAAATGTATAGGAGGTAAGATAAACTCAAATAACTATTTCACAAAACAATGTGGGTATTTATTACTGTATTTGTAAAGAAAACAACTTTATTAAAAACTGGAGCTGGAGAAAATAATTCATGATGAATATTATAGAAGTATCTGTTCTACCCGCTGGTTCATGGACAAAGGGAAATAACTCAGTGGGTCAAATTAAAATTGAAGCAAATGTAGTGACAAGAGTAATTTAACACTGACACTATGTAGTTGTGACAGGAGACTTTTATCTTTACAGGCTTTGTTAGAGTATTTATACTTTCTGCTAAACATTGGAACAGAACAGATAGAAGAAATACCAAACAATCCTTCATTGGAGCAGGTAATTACTTCATATTCAGATTTAACCAGAAATACCAAACAATCCTTCGTTGGTGCAGGTAAATACTTCATATTCAGATTTAACCAGAAATACCAAACAATCCTTCGTTGTGGCAGGTAAATACTTCATATTCAGATTTAACCAGAAATACCAAACAATCCTTCGTTGGGGCAGGTAATTACTTGATATTCAGATTTAACCAGAAATACCAAACAATCCTTCGTTGGGGGAGGTAATTACTTGATATTCAGATTTAACCTGAAATACTTAACAATCCTTCGTTGGAGCAGGTAAATACTTCATATTCAGATTTAACCAGAAATAACAAACAATCCTTCGTTGGTGCAGGTAAATACTTCATATTCAGATTTAACCAGAAATACCAAACAATCCTTCGTTGGTGCAGGTAAATACTTCATATTCAGATTTAACCAGAAATACCAAACAATCTTGGTGGAGCAGGTAAATACTTGATATTCAGATTTAACCAGAAATACCAAACAATCCCTCGTTGGAGCAGGTAAATACTTGATATTCAGATTTAACCTGAAATACTTGACAATCCTTCGTTGGGGCAGGTAATTACTTGATATTCAGATTTAACCAGAAATACCAAACAATCCTTCGTTGGGGCAGGTAATTACATCATATTCAGATTTAATCGGAAAAAAAATAGGCTGTATTTATTTTAGATAATAGAAATGTACAAGATCCAATTGTGAAAAGTTGTCTTTAGATAAAATTATTTCTCAACTTTTATTTGTGATGTTTATAGTCCAGTATTCTGTCCAGCTTTTGACATTGATTAGGAGAATTTTTTTTCACTCATTTGATTAATTTTTATGTCAGAGTGAAAATCCTGTGTCAAAATAGGATATAATATCAAATTTGGGGAATAATATTCCTAATGTGATATAAATTTACTATAAAATTCTTTTTAATTTTCAATTATCTGAAATTATAACATATTTTTGTTGTCTCGCCTTGACGGAGTCAAAAAGCGAGACATAGGTATGCTGTTTCCGGCGTAGGCGACGGCGACAGCGTCAACAATGTATTAGTTTGTGATTAGGTCTAGTTCATGGTGAACCACTAGTGGTAGGTCAATGATATTTGGTATGCAGTTGTATTAGCATTGGCACATCTCATTACCATGGAGATTATTTGGCCCCGCCCCCTTAGTCAAGGTCTATTGACTTTGAAACTTTTCATAGTTTACATGTATTAGTTTGTGATTAGGTCAATTTATGGGGAACCACTAGTGGTAGGTCAATGATATTTGGTATGCAGTTGTATAAGCATTGGCATATCTCATTTCCATGGAGATTATTTGTCTCCGCCCCCTTAGTCATGGTCTGTAGACTTTGAAAATTTTGCTAAGTTAACATGTATTAGTTTGTGATTAGGTCAGTTCGAGGGGAACCATTAGTGGTAGGCCAATGTTAATTGGTGCTCAGTTGTATAAGCATTAGCACATCTCATTTCCATGGAGAATATTTGGCCCGCCCCCTCAGTCATGGTCTATTGACTTTGAAACTTTTGCTTAGTTTACATGTATTAGTTTGTGATTAGATCAGTTTAAGATGAACTGCTAATGTTAAGTCAATGATATTTGGTATGCAAATTTATTGGCATTTGCAAGTATCGTTTCCATGGAGATTATATAGCCCCACCCCTGATCATGGTTCATTGACTTTGAAACTTTTACATAGTTTACAAGTTAATGTTTATGCTTAGGTTTGTTTAAAGGGAACGACTTATGATAAGTCAATGGTATTTGGTATGCAGTTGTATTAGCATTGGCACATCTCATTCCATGGAGATTGTTTAGCCATGTACCTTCAGTCATGGTTCATCGACTTTGAATATTTGCATAACTTTCATGTTAAAGTATTGGTATTTTAATTTCAACATTTGCATTATCAAAATAACAAATAGGCGAGACATATCTCTGTGATAACAGTTTATTTGTTTAAATCAATTACTTTTCCAGAATCTGAAAAAGTTTCTATTTTGACCCCCTTCCCTGGAAATTTTTCGGTGTTTATCTCATTAGCAATCAGGTATCCTGAAAAGTTGCCTTTTTACTAATTGATTTCACTTTGTAATATTTTCTTCTTAATCAAATAAAACAAATGCACAGTAAATTTATGTACCACTTCAAATATATTCCCCAATTGGGCTACTGAATCTTCATCCTATTTAAATGATTGCTCAATTATTAAATTGAATAGAGCATAAAAAAATGTTTAAAGGTTGTAACATTAACAAGCTTAAAGGAGATTTAACACCCTTGTTGCTGGTACTACAAGTCACACCAGAACTTTTGAGGGGTAGATTTTTTTCTTCTGATTCCTACTGGACAGAAAAGCTATTGGGTACCAACTAACACTGTTGGAAAGTTTGGCAGTTGTCCTTGCCTCCTCCAAACTAGAAGGACCACAGGGGAAATCTGTGATTCTTCTTTTCAAGGCCATGTTGTTAATGTTTGTTACATCATGTGATTATGGTCCTCCACCAGCAGTAGCACTATCACACTTATGGATGACAAGATTTTATAACTCCCTAGTTATTGTCTTTTGCTTCCCGTGCTAAAACCTTTGACATTCAAAACGTAAGTGTAAAAATAATACATTAAAATGCACCCTGGGTAGAATACTGTAAGTCAGAAGTATCTTATAATTAGCATTGATATTATAATATCCATTTTTTCTGTGATAAAGTTATGTATTGCAGACCTGGGCAGAATTAGTTTGAAATAAAATTGAAAAATAAATCCTCTTTAAATTTTTCTACTAGAACATTTCAGACAGTATGAAAATTGTTGAATGTCTGGGTTGCCTGACATATTAACTTCATTATTATCATTCCAGGTTGTAGACTGGTTATGTTGTATATTAGATGGACATTTTACACAACTAATTATCTCTCCTGATGCCAGAGGTGTACTTGTGCATCTGCATAGTATTGTAGAATCTCAGGTAAATTATGATAGGGTTATCTCCCCTGATGAGAGTTGTACTGATGGGGCGTGTTTTATTGGTCTCTTCTGTACATCTCCAGAATGTCTTCTGGTGAAGAGTCCAAAAAAATGAATCTGGACCTCTTCTGGAGATATTCTGTAGAAGAAGCAATAAAACAAAAATTCAATTTGCCGTCGAATATGATAGAATTTTTTTTATGTTGGATAACATAAACGAAGTTTACGATGATTTATTAGAAAATTTAGTTACGTCAGTTCATTCGGTAGACATGACTTTAATTGCGTTCTCCGTTTTGGCATTGATGTAATTATATGATAAGGAAAAGACAAAGAAAATTGTTGGAAAAAATCGCTGTGTATGTGAAATTGTTTCTTTATGCTTTTCTAACTTAATTTTTACAAACAAATCCGGCTTAAAGCTCAGACCATTAAATTTTTTGGAATAATCTTAAACTATACAAGAATTTGTCAATTTTTGTCTGGTATATGATCGAAAAAGACATCTTGTCTATAAGCATTGTATATAAAAGATATCGCAGAGTTCTCAAAATCTTTAATCCCTGTTGGTCCTTGAAGAAAAATATACTAGTCCTAACTATTACTTTTATTTCAAAATACCAAAATTATGCCGGTCCTTGCAATATTTCAATGACTAAAACCTTCGGACCACCACTTTTTGAGAACCTTAATTGTATATGTTTTTAATATACTAGTATACAAGGATGACTAAATCCGTTGGTTGTGTACTGATTGATACTTTAATCTGGGAGAGCATGATTTCAAGCAGTTCAGTTACCGAAAAACTCTAATTTGGTGCTTTACGTTTATCCTTTTAATGTTAGCTGTTTTTGTGTCTCGTACCGATTTTTTGAGTAAATCCAATTGCAACTGATTTTTACAGTTTGTGCTTATGTTGTACTGTTACATCACTACCCCAGTTTAAGGGAGTGTTGAGCGCTCACAAACATGTTTAACCCTGCCACATTCTCTAAAGTCAGGAGCCTATAGTTCAGTGGTTGTTGTTGGTTCATATCTGTCAACCCATATTTGTTTTTTTTTTAAAGGTTTTGATATATATAGTTAGGCCGTTATTTTTTTTCGTTTTCATTGTTTCATATTTTTCATGTCGGAGCCTTTTATAGCTGACTATACGGTATGGGTTTTTGTCATTGTTGAAGGTCGTACGGTTGGTTATAATTGCTGACACTACTTCATTTGAACTCCGGTTGATAGTTGCCTAAATGGCAATCATGCCACATCTCCTTACTAGTTTTGATATTCTATACCTGACTTTTAAATTCATGTTTTTTTCTGAACATGTATGGACGCTAAAAATAAGAAACCAAAAATCAATCAATTTAAACTCATGTTAAATAAGGGGAAAACCATTTGATTTTTTGGGGAGGGGGACAGGAGGATTTTGAATATGAATATGGTGGCCTGGTAAGAGCTGGAAAAAATAGGCATGCTTAGCGACAGATTAAAAATTTAAGATGAATAAAAAAATCCGCAAAAAATCCTCCTGCCCCATCCCCCTTCCCAGAATATTAAAGAGTTGTCCCTTACTGTTATTGTCCGTGTAGTTTTTATACGACCGCAAAAAAATTTTTGTGGTCGTATATTGGTATGACGTTGGCGTCGTCCGAAGACACATTAGTTTTCGCACTCTAACTTTAGTTTAAGTGAATGGATCTCAATGAAATTTTACCATAAGGTTCAATACCACAAAAGGAAGGTGGGTATTGATTTTGGGGGTTATGGTACCAACAGTTAAGGAATTAGGGGCCAAAAATAAGCATTTTTGTAACTTCCAGACATAACTTGTGTGTAAGTGTATGGATCTCTCTGACATTGTACCACAAGCTTCCATATCACAAACGGAATGCTGGGATTGATTTTGGGGGTAATTGCCTCCAAATTTTAGGAATTAGGGGCCAAAAAGGGGAAAAAAACAAGCATTTTTCTAGTTTCATGACAATATCTTGTTTGTAAGTCTATGGATCTCTCTGACATTGTATCACAAGGTTCCATATCACAAAGGAAATGCTGGTATTGATTTTGGGGGTAATTGCCTCCATATTTTAGAAATTAGGGGCCAAAAAGGGGCAAAAAACAAGCATTTTTCTAGTTTCATGACAATAACTTGTGTGTAAGTGTATGGATCTTTATGAAATTGTACTACAAGGTTCCATATCACAAAGGGAAAGCTGGAATTGAGTTTGGGGGTAATTGCCCAAAAAGTTTAGGAATAAGGGGCCAAAAAGGGGCCAAAAATAAGCATTTTCTAGTTTCCAGAGAATAACTTGTGTTCAAGTGTATGGATCTCTCTGAAATTGTACTGCAAGGTATCATACCACAAAGGGAAGGCTGGGATTGATTTTGGGGGTTATTCCCTAAAAATTTTAGTAATTAGGGGCCATAAAAGGGCAAAAAAACAAGCATTTTTCTAGTTCCAGGACAATAACTTGTGTGTAAGTGCATGGATCTTTATGAAATTGTACTGCAAGGTTCCATATCACAAAGGGAAAGCTGGGTTTGAGTTTGGGGGTAATTGCCCTAAACGTTTAGGAATTTGGGGCCAAAAAGGGGCCAAAAAACAAGCATTTTTCTAGTTTCCAGACAATAACTTGTGTTCAAGTGTATGGATCTCTCTGAAATTGTACTGCAAGGTACCATACCATAAAGGGAAGGCTGGGATTGAGTTTGGGGGTGATGAATCATAAGGGGGTTCAAAAAGTTTTAATGGGGGGGGGGGGAGATTTTTATTTTCCTTTTTTTTTCTTTAAAATTTTCCATTTTAAATTGGTTATTTCTGATTTATATATAAAAGCAAATAATAATGATATGGTTTGAATAGGTAAATTAAAAAAATTTAAGTTCTTAGACCACTCTCATTCTGTGTGAGAAACCTATGCTGTGTCAAATATTTAATTACAATCCAAATTCAGTGCTGAATCAAGCTTGAATGTTGTGTCCATACTTGCCCCAACTGTTCAGGGTTCGACCTCTGCGGTCGTATCAAGCTGCGCCCCAGCGGAGCATTTTATTATATTTATCCAGCTTATTGTTCCTATAGGAATGTCCTACTAAGGTTGCCTTACCATAAAAACGTTTATCACACAACTCACATTCTATTATATCTGCATTTATAAATTTATTAATGTCATTTAAACTAAGCGACGCCATGTTTGTTATGTGCCTCTGCCGTCTAAACTACCTATTTAAAAAGAAGAGATATAAGAGAGCCAGAAGATCTTCCCAATGCAAAAAAACAGAAATGAACCTCTTCTGGCTCACTACTGAAGAAAAAAAAAAACACGCCCATGCATATGGAGGTAATCAGACCACAATTAGTTTTACCATTGGTTAAAATGATTTTCTTTGTAAAAGTCAATTTGAATTAAATTTGCACTGTTTCTAAAATGAAATAGAATTGTCTGCATACAGACCATTACTATTCTATTAAAATATGCTTGTCCCAGCACAATCCATTGCTACTTTCTCTTTTAAGAGTCCTGAAAACATGAAAAGGATAGAAGTTGAGTCTTGAATAAATGCAGAAGGCTAATTTCTACCCTACTTTTCACTTTAACCAAATCACTTCTTTCACTTTCAACAATAAATGTTTCCCATATGTTTCACTTATCATTTACAACTTATAGGACGACTTGAAATAGTAACAAGAAAAATCAGGAAAAATACCTCATATGATACTTGGGAAGTACCGGTATATTCCTAGACCAAGAACAAAGGGAATTAATTGTGGTCTGAAACCTGTATAGCATTGTAAAGTTGTAGGAAAATATTGATAGGATTATCTCCCCTGATGAAGATGTCCTGATACATCTGTAAAGAGTTAAAAAATCTCAGATAAATGTTGATAAGATTATCTCCCCTGATGAAGGTGTCCCTATACATCCGCCCTCAATTTAGTCCACTGATATGGTCGCCTGGGCGACTTTAAAAGCTGATTGGCCACCAAAAATTCATAACTGGTCGCCATTTAGTCGATTCGAATATTGAAAATCTGGCGACCGTAAATTTTTCGGAAATTTTGCCCTGATCAGAGTCGGGTTTTAAAAAATTGTCTGAACGCTTGACAGTAACACAAATTTATACATTATTTCAAGCGCCTTTTAGATTTAAGCTTGATCTTCTCAGTGCTTTAGTGCATCAGGTAATTGTTGTTCATTTGTTAGCAATTTGTTGTCGTTGACTCAAAATGGCAAAGCAGTTACTGCTGACAGGATTTGTTAGAAAGAAAGTCATTGATATTGCTGAGGAAGAAACCGATTTAAAAAATGACCCCCCACAAAAAAATCTAGACCAGCAGTTACGTTAACCGACACACCACCTGTCCCATCAATCCAAACTGAAAAGAAAAAAACGGTCGTACGTAAATTTCAGGATAGTTGGATAAAAGAATTTTCTTGGTTGCAATATGATCAAAATAAGGCAGTAATGACTTGTAGGTTTTGCCAAAGCCTACCAAATATTGCTGGTTCAACTGACTTCATTGAAGGCTCTACAACTTTCAAAATGGAAACAATAAAAATCCACAATCAAAGTAAGAGGAACAAATTGTAAGAATTGGTCGCTAAAACTTTTGTGTTATTTACTTTCGGGATGAAAAATGGGTTATATTTTATATAAAAGATAATAATTAAATTTAACTATTAGTATCTGTTAATTTTTAAATGTATAATTATGTGACAGCGGGAACTAAGACTTCCGAATATTTTTTTAGTGAAACTGGTAACCGTCGACGCAATCTGTCTGGAAAATTGCTTTCAGTATTGTTTTTTGTGTGGTCCATGTGTTTTGTTTCGGCTGAAAATGATGTCTAAATAAGTCTTCTTTTAAGTCTGAAATGCCTCAAGAATGCACCATTTTGTGTCTGGTAAAAACAAAAATTCTGGGGGAGCAACCTTCCATGCCCCCCTTCTTCATTTGGGCATGCATGTTATATGAACCCAGCTATTCCCCTGCTGTTGTTATTATTCTGTTATTTTTAGGGGTTACATAGGAGTCAGTTCATTTGGTATTATTCTGTTATTTTTAGGGGTAACAGAGGAGTCAGTCCTGTTGTTATTATTCTGGGGTAATAGAGGAGTCAGTCCTGTTGTTATTATTCTGTTAGTTTTTGGGGTTACAGAGGAGTCAGTCCTGTTGTTATTCTGTTATTTTTTGGGGTTACAGAGGAGTCAGTCCTGTTGTTATTCTGTTATGTTCAGGGTAACATAGAAGTCAGTCCTGTTGTTGTTATTCTGTTATTTCAGGGTAACAGAGAAGTCAGTCCTGTTGTTGTTATTCTGTTATTTTCAGGGTAACAGAGAAGTCAGTCCTGTTGTTATTATTCTGTTATTTTTTGGGGTTACAGAGGAGTCAGTCCTAATGTTATTATTCTGTTATTTTTAGGGGTTACATAAGAATCAGTTCTTTTGTTATTATTAGTGTGGTTACAGATGTGTCAGTCCTGTGTTATTGTTATGTTTATTTTAGGGTAACAGAGGAGACAGTCTTGTTATACGCCCGTTGTCCATCTGTCCGTCCGTCCGTCTGTCTGTCCGTCGTCATCATGTTGGACATTAACTCAAAAACGCTTTAATCAATTTGCATAAAACTTTGGTGAATTATTTATATCTATTGACGTGAGCTCCCTTTTTGTTTTTTATAAGTTTTAGATTTTACATTTCCGAGTTATGGGGTTTTATTCATTAAAAAAAGGGGGTTTTCCAGTTTTCGGACAAGAACTCAAGAATGCTTTCACCAACTTGCAAGAAATTGTGGTGAATTGTTTATATCTATTAACATGAGCTCCCTTTTGATTTTTATATATTTAAGATTTTACGTTTCCGAGTTACAGGGTTTTATTCATAAAAAAAGGGGGGTTTTCCAGTTTTCGGACAAAAACTCCAAAATGCTTTCAGCAGTTCGTATAAAACTTTGGTGAATTGTTTATATCTATTGATGTAAGCTCTGTTTAGAATTTTATAAATTTTACATTTTACATTTCTGAGTTATGGGGTTTTATTCATTGAAAAAGGGGGGATTTTCCAGTTTTTGGACAATTACTCAAAAATGCTGCCAGCAATTCTCATGAAACTTTGGTGAATTGTTTATATCTATTGATGTAAGCTCCCTTTACATTTTCATAAATTTCTAATATGACATTGAGAATTAATTGAACTTTATTTGTTTATAGTCTGACAACAGATTTACTAAGTATTGCGCAACAGCACAGTGTATTGCACAACAGCAAGAAATCTTTAATTGAATATAAACTCAATTCATATAACCAATTTCAAGTTCTTTGACTACATTTATTCAGAAACCTATAATATGTCAAATATATAATACAATCCAAATTCAGACCTGTATCAAGCTTGAATATTGTCCATTTTTGCCCCAACTATTCAGGGTTGGACCTCTGCGGGCATATCCAGCTGTGCTCAGCGAAGCAGTTTATTTTTATTATTCTGTTATTTTTAGGGGTAACAGAAATATCAGTCCTGTTGTTATTATTCTGTTATTTTTCAGGTTGAGTTTTACGATGAGTTACTAAGTTTAGATGCTCTACTACAACAACTGGAATCTAGATGTGCAATACCAAAAAACAAGATGGTTGGACAGTACTGCATAGAAGTTTTACACATACTATAAATAAAGTTCATATTAATTCACATTGTTGTTTTTATTTTATTTTAAATCCTTTCTTATTGAAGTCTTTCTGTATATACACAACCAGATTCACTAACATTTCTGTAATTGGGTTAAAGGTCTGTAACTTTATTGACAGACAGGTCCCTTAACATTTCTGTAATTGGGTTAAAGGTCTGTAACTTTATTGACAGACAGGTCCCTTAACATTTCTGTTATTTGGAAAAGGTCTAACTTTATTGACAGACACATCCCTCAAAATTTCTGTTATTTGGTAAAAGGTCTAACATTATTGACAGACAGGTCCCTTAACATTTCTGTTATTTGGTAAAAGGTCTAACTTTATTGACAGACAGGTCCCTAAACATTTCTGTTATTTGGTTAAAGGTCTGTAACTTTATTGACAGACAGGTCCCTTAACATTTCTGTTATTTGGTAAAAGGTCTAACTTTATTGACAGACACATCCCTTTACATTTCTGTTATTTGGTAAAAGGTCTAACTTTATAGACAGACAGGTCCCTTAACATTTCTGTTTTTTGGTAAAAGGTCTGTAACTTTATAGACAGACAGGTCCCTTAACATTTCTGTTATTTGGTTTAAGGTCTGTAACTTTATTGACAGACACATCCCTTTACATTTCTGTTATTTGGTAAAAGGTCTAACTTTATAGACAGACAGGTCCCTTAACATTTCTGTTATTTGGTAAAAGGTCTTAACTTTATTGACAGACAGGTCCCTTAAAGGGGCATTAGCTACGAGATATAAAAAAACTTAAAATATGATTGTTTTTTTTTGTTCAATCATTAATGAAAGTGAAATAATTATTCGCCTCTAGCAGCCAGTTTGGTTCAATTTTGTCAAAATAAGCTAAGAAACATCGTTAATGAATTATTCACTTGCAAGTTGATAATTCGACCTCATTGAATCCATATTCATGTGACCTTCAATTAAACCCCTTAGCTAGAGATGGGTTAAGCATAAACTAGGCGTGTTTAGCTTTTAAAAGGAAAAGAATGTTAACGTTGAAAGTGAAACATGGGTAAACCATTTGGTTGGATGACTGATTCGATCCACAAAAACTCATTCTTATACAGGTAAAAATGATGATTAACATAATTTAATGCCCCTGCCATAGGGGAGGGGGCATTAAGTTTTAACCTTGTCCTTCTGTACGTCCGTCCGCCTGTACGTCTGTACGTCCCAAAATTGGTTTCTGTTCTCTAACTTTAGTTTGCCTCAACCAAATGTAATGAAACTTATACACAATGATTAATTCCACAAAACACAGATCAAGTTTGAATTTTGGTGGCGTCACTTTTACTGTTCTAGAGTTATGCCCTTGACAATTTGAAAAATTTCTGAAATATTTGTTTCCGTTCTCTAACTTTAGTTTGCCTCAACCAAATATTATGAAACTTATGCACAATGCTAATTACCACAAAACACAGATCAAGTTTGAATTTTGGTGGCGTCACTTTTACCGTTATAGAGTTTGCCCTTTACAAATGGAAAAATTGCTGAATTTTTCGTTTCCGTAACCTAACTTAAGTTTGCCTCAACTAAATGTTATGAAACTTATAAACAATGCTTATTACCACAAAACTCAGATCAAGTACTTTGGGTAGCGTCACTTTTACAGTTCTTGAGTTATGTCCCTTTATAAGGTTATATGCAAGCCAGGGTATCATCTGTGTCCCATGGATACATTCCCCATTTATTTAAACCTACAATATGAAATCAAACAGACCTAGACATAATTTCCAATTGCACTTGTTCAATATCTATTTATAGCTATATTTATGTTTATATCGGGTTATATGACCGTCAGCAGTCTTCGGAAGTGGCCCTGATAGATAATTAGATGGCGTCTAGACTAAAATACACACAAAATGCTGATACATAATATGAGTCCATGCATCGTAAATTGTTTATTTTAGACTTTTTATAACTTGGATATAGGTTTTAGTATGTTATGAATCAAATATGAGAATTTGAGTAAAATCGTTGAACATGAATTTGACAGCTAATGCCCCTTTAACATTTCTGTTATTTGGTTAAATGTCTGTAACTTTATTGACAGACAGGTCCCTTAACATTTCTGTTATTTGGTTAAAGGTCTAACTTTATTGACAGATAGGTCCCTTAACATTTGTTATTTGGTAAAATGTCTGTTACTTTATTGACAGACAGGTCCCTTAACATTTCTGTTATTTGGTTAAATGTCTGTAACTTAATTGACGGACAGGTCCCTTAACATTTCTGTTATTTGGTTAAAGGTCTAACTTTTTAAACAGACAGGTCCCTTAAGATTTCTGTTATTTGGTAAAAGGTCTGAACTTTGTTGACAGACAGGTCCCTTAACATTTCTGTTATTTGGTAAAAGGTCTAACTTTATTGATATACAGGTCCCTTAAGATTCCTGTTATTTGGTAAAAGGTCTAACTTTATTGACAGACAGGTCCCTTAACATTTCTGTTATTTGGTTAAAGGTCTACATTTATTGACAGATAGGTCCCTTAACATTTCTGTTATTTGGTTAAAGGTCTGTAACTTTATTGACAGACAGTTCCCTTAAGATTTCTGTTATTTGGTAAAAGGTCTAACTTTATTGACAGACATGTCCCTGAAGATTTCTGTTATTTGGTAAAAGGTCTAAATTTATTGACAGACATGTCCCTGAAGATTTCTGTTATTTGGTAAAAGGTCTAACTTGATTGACAGACAGGTCCCTTAAGATTTCTGTTATTTGGTAAAAGGTCTAACTTTATTGACAGACATGTCCCTGAAGATTTCTGTTATTTGGTAAAAGGTCTAAATTTATTGACAGACATGTCCCTGAAGATTTCTGTTATTTGGTAAAAGGTCTAACTTTATTGACAGACATGTCCCCAAAGATTTCTGTTATTTGGTAAAAGGTCTAACTTGATTGACAGACAGGTCCCTTAAGATTTCTGTTATTTGGTAAAAGGTCTAACTTTATTGACAGACATGTCCCCAAAGATTTCTGTTATTTGGTAAAAGGTCTAACTTGATTGACAGACATGTCCCCAAAGATTTCTGTTATTTGGTAAAAGGTTTAACTTTATTGACAGACAGGTCCCTTAAGATTTCTGTTATTTGGTAAAAGGTCTAAATTTATTGACAGACAGGACTGAGGTTCCTTAACATTTCTGTTATTTGGTTAAAGGTCTAACTTTATTGACAGATAGGTCCCTTAACATTTCTGTTATTTGGTTAAAGATCTGTAACTTTATTGACAGACAGGTCCCTTAAGATTTCTGTTATTTGGTAAAAGGTCTAACTTTATTGACAGACAGGTCCCTTAACATTTCTGTTATTTGGTAAAAGGTCTAATTTTATTGACAGACAGGTTCCATTAAAATTTCTGTTAAAGCCACATTTTTACTTATTTCTTCCTTGGCCAGAGTTACCTCTTATTCAGTAGTCTTATTAAGTTGACCTGTGTGATGGTTAACCATTGCGACGTCTGTCAGACCTCTAAACATGACCAAAAATAATTTTCTTACTTCTAAAAAGAGAAACAAAAGCAAGGTTAAGAAATCCAATACTTGTGTAAGGTATTTGAACTTTTAAGATTACTATTGGAGTGTTATTAACTAGAAAGTTCTCCGCCCTGTAGAATGTACCATAAATAGATTAACTAATCTGATTAAATTGAAAAATTATATTGTATAATACTAAGGATTAACAAATTTTAAAATATTTCCTTCAATTTAGCTGTATGTTAAATAATATCAGGTATTTCATATTTCGTTCTGAATTGAACAAACACATTGGTTCATCTTCTGGTGCTGTTATTTGGTCCATATATGTCACTGCTACAGTGTTACCACATTTCTAACTGGTCACCATGTGCTGCCAAAATAACAGATCCTAGTCCTGCTTGCCTAAGTTATATGTATATGGATATGACTTGGGACAGGAACATGCATATGTGGCAGTTAAAAAGTTAAATAAATTCAGATTGTTTCCCCAGTAACCCCAATATCTTACAAAACATCTTCTAATACTCATTATAGTGGAGCATTCATATGCCTCTAAATGAGGGTCTGGATGCAGCTGACAGATTAGAGAAAATTTGGCACACAATAGATAGAAAATAATGGTGTTCTAAAATGTAAAGAACAGTCTGAGAGAAAAATAACCTAAATATTAATGAATGTAGAAATGTAGACCAAAATCCAGACAGTACTAAATATCCAATTAACAATCCAGAAACATTATCTCATTGTCCCCCTTCTTTCGTTGAAATACTGGTGGGTGTAATTAAGGAATATGACGAATATTATATAAATAATTAACCGTTGCTTTTTTCACAATAGTCACAATTTAATTGGTAAACAGATTTTTATAAAGAAACATCCATATGTGTTTTAGAATAAGATTATGTATATAGTATTGATAATTTTACAAATAGAAGGCCATTACATGTATTACCGGTATCCTATAGATATGGACAAAATGATAGCATTGACGTTTCTTTCTATATCTTTAAAAATTCCTTTAAAAAATAAAAGATCTGATAGCTCTGAGGTGGAAGATACACGAAAGGATATAACTTGACTTTCAATGAAAGCACACCACTACAACCCAGCCTGTTATGTGCCATTGACAGTAGCACACCGCTACAACCCAGCCTGCTATGTGCCATTGACAGTAGCACACCACTACAACCCAGCCTGCTATGTGCCATTGACAGTAGCACACCACTACAACCAAGCCTGCTATGTGACATTGACAGTAGGACACCACTACAACCCAGCCTGCTATGTGACATTGACAGTAGCACACCACTACAACCCAGCCTGTTATGTGCCATTGACAGTAGCACACCACTACAACCCAGCCTGCTATGTGCCATTGACAGTAGGACACCACTACAACCCAGCCTGCTATGTGCCATTGACAGTAGCACACCACTACAACCCAGCCTGTTATGTGCCATTGACAGTAGGACACCACTACAACCCAGCCTGCTATGTGCCATCGACAGTAGCACA